TTTAGCAGAAACTGTTAACAAAAATATTTGTCTGGCATTCAATGTGTTAATAAGTAATACATGCACAATAGTTTATGGTTCATGTTACGTTACTGAATTGTGCACGATTCATTTTGCTCCGTTACTGTCACAACATGAATATCTATGAAATTAAATTGTCTATTTATATAAACACGATCACATCAAATAATTGAGTGCAACTCGCGAAAGAAACTTTCGGGACAACCTAATATCACGCGATCCTCTAATTACCTGGAACGTTATCTCTGGATCAGTTTAAACACGATTAATCTGTTAACGATGACTAAATTGTGTCGACGTTTCGTCGAATTCGGCTAATCAGTGTTCTCGATCGAGCTTTTAATTTTATCAGCTTGAACGTGAACTAATAATTGAGGAAGGGGGCATATAAAGAGTGACGACTAAATATTTTTAACAATTTTAGACGTCGCGAATAAATTTACGTAGATTGCAATTTTATATATTTCTTTTGTTTACGCGTTGTTTATGTTCACGTTCGTCGTCGCGTTATTCGTCGCGAGATACTAAACTGAACAAACGAGCGACGAGCTCGTCGTGTTCCGTAATCGCTTTGGGAACTCTTTAGCATGTACCGCACCCTTTCGAGCACCCTTCTCTGAGTGCAAATACGAAACGCACCTCGATTACTTCCGCTAACGACTTTCGCTACCGAAAAGCAAATCTCGTGAAACCGAGAGGAGGGACAAAACGAAGGGAGTGTATTAGAACCGCACGAGTGCTCCGAAAAGATAAATCCTTCGTATCCGCGTGCAGTTTTGTAGCAGTGCAGCAGGATACGTCGGAAGGGGTTGCTTTCGCACCGGTAACACGATCAATAAGATAATTGAAGACTTTCTCGACAATGCCGGCGGAAGGGAGCAATTTCGCCATCTCCCTTGCACTTGAGCAAGGTCATTGTTTTCGAGGGGATTCTCTCATCTCGCTTCTAAGCACCATCGTCGCATCGTTCCTTATAATTTGTATCCTGCTGGCTTGAAACGCCGTTCCCCTCGAAACTCGCGACAATCAGAAACCGGAAAGTTCGAATTCTCGTTCGAATAAAAATCGGAATTCAAATCGTATAATTCGATACTTCGCAACGAACGTGTGCAAATTGTATTTATTCCATTATATTCGACGAAAGCAAGTATAATATTCAATTTCATAACAGCAATTAAACAACATATTCGCGAACGCGGTAATTAAATTCTACCGCAGGGGCCGCCGTACGTGGGACGATGATATTCGAAAACTATCGGTCTATTTACGTTGAAACTTCCGATGCACGGTAGAGAAGTTAACGAGCGTCCATTAGCGGTCCGATAATCCAATATATCGGTTCGCTCTGCAACTCGTGTGTACTGAACGTCCGAAACTGTATGCAATTAAGCGTTCGGTAAACGGGATATGATACGCCACGGGAAAAAGGAAAAGAAAAACAAATATATAACCGAGCTTTCGTATTTTCGATATTAAAAAGCATCGCGTGCCCGGAGTCCGCGAAAACAAATTAATCCGTGCCCAGCGGGTACAGTGAGGCGAACGGGTAAAAAAAAAGCGCCCACGGAACGAGACCGCACGCTCAGTTAATCAACCGTGAAAAGTGAACTCGTGGAGAACAAGAAACAACGACCTGGCAACGAGTCACCGTAGTTCTTCGCGGCTTCGTAAAACCCGGTGCACCGTCCCACGATCATCGAACGAGATATCTTGCCGAGAAATCGCTCGACCGTAATGGTAAAAAGTAATTAGAACGAGCGTAGGTATTCCGTGGACGAGCACGTGCGACGGTCACATGTCTCGCTATACAGGGTGTCCCAGCCTTAGTGATACAGAGCTTTAACTCCAAAATTATAGGCCGAATGGAAAACTTCAAATATGGAAATTGCGTGGTGAAATGGGGCTCGTGTTTCAGCGCGAAGGAATTTTTGTCGACTTTATCATTTAACGAGATATTATGGTCAAGTTTCGTTTTTCAAACTACATATTTTTTGCTCTTTTTTTTTTTATATCACGCGATAACACTTTCCAAGACGAATTCAAAGGGAGTGAACTCCCGTGCCTTGTATGTGTTCGTACGCACTCACACAGCTCCACATCACTATCCTTCATCGGGTATAACACAAAATAGCAAAAGTAGACTACCTATAGGAGCTTGCGCACAAGTTTGAAATATTTACCTAGCGGAAACGACTATCGAGAGGTCTCAAATTTGCATTGTCGAGACAAAAGTAGGATAATACGCAAGCCTTTGCAGGTTCCGTGTACGGATACAGTGGTGTGGAGCTGTTTGACCGCGTACCAGCGCATACAAAGCACGGGTATCCACTCCCTTAAGCTTTAATGTATTTACCCGATTTTTATTAGTTTTGAAGATAGGACGCTTCAAAGTTTGCTAATTTTCAAGGAAAAATCACGGGCGGTCCCATTGATGCAGTAAGCACCATGCGGTTCTTGAAATCGATACGGTGGAAAATGGGAAGAATCCCAATATTCTGGGCCTAGAATATATGTATATAATTCCCAGCGAGACCCTCCGTATCGATTTCAAGAACCGCATGGTGCTTATTGCATCAATGGGACCGCCCGGTGTCGAACCGAGTTTTTTCCTTGAAAATTAACAAACTTTGAAGCGTCCTATCTTCGAAACTAATAAAAATCGGGCGAATACATTAAAGCTTAATGAATTCGTCTCGAAAAGTACTATCGCATGGTATTTTAATCAGTTATGCAATCGCCATCGTTATCAACAGCCTTTTGTCATCTGTTGTGCAAATTTTCAATTCCAGGTCGATAAAAATCAATGAGTCAAGTGATAAACGAATATTTAAAAACGATGTTACTTTCCAGTTCACCTACTGTTATTCGATATTTGATTATTATTATTATCATTTGAATATTGATATTGAAACAACCCAAATGGTACCATTGTTTCACCTAATATTTTAATCATCCACGGATTAGCATACATCAGCAATAAGACTTGGAGAAGTCTCCAAGCCCTATGGTCATAACGGTATCGAAGAATGTTCGAGACATTTATCAGCGGGAATCAAGCCCGAAAATTGGGTTCCGTTAGGAAAGCAACGCTCTCGAATAACTCGTTCGACGATGCACGAGAAACTAGAAACTAGAAACGTGAATCGAGCGGAGACCCTTCACGGCCGGGCCACGCTCGACGCACGACCGCAAAGGGTTAAGGGGTTGGTCGCAGTCAGGAAGAGGAAAAACGACATTTCTTTGTGATTTCTTTTTAGTTACTAAATAATAATTTGCATAAGTAACAATTAAGTATATTATAAAGCATGTTTTAAAGAACTAAAAAACATTTTTTGTTTTAAGAAACGTTTCGTATTAACAGCAATAAAGCAAATGAATCTTACACGTTGAATTTTATTTATTCCATTTTTCTAGGTTGAAGGTCATTTGTAGGTCATATTGTATGATGAATATTGTATATGGATGAATTCGTTATTTTGTCAGTTACAACATTACGTTAACGAAAATATATCGTTCCGTTTAAAAAAAACATCGATGACCTTGAAATTTTATAAAAAAAAAAAAGACATTGAAAATTTGTTCCCTTACACCGTTACATGTGGCCCTTCAAATAATGTAACTTTGTCCTAAGAAGTTTTTTTGTACAACGAAATGTAACGGTGATATTTAAGTGTTCTGTTTCTTCGAACTCACCCTGTATATTTACATTTCATTAATAAAAATTATTATCCTTATTAAGATATTATAGTACAATACCTTAAAAAAAAAACACACACACACAATAAATTGTCCGTTTCCATTTTCCTGACTGCGTCTAACCCCTTAACGTCGATGAAACGACAGTAAGCGCCTACTTACTCGAAGGTCGAACGCACATAAACTCGATGCTAGTAACTTGACCTGTTCCGTGCGGCATGCAACGCGTACGATGTTCATAACAAATGCAACTAGCCAGTTTTGCTCCAATTGTTTAACAAGAATACGACCCCGCGATCGTTACGTGCAGCGTACAGTGCGACCACACGTGCGTAAACATACATAGCGAGGAATAGAAGCGAAAAGCGACCGGGTCACGACATTCGATATATCGAGCGGTAATTACACGCTCGATCAATTCGATATGTTGTTCAGCGTCGCGGGTAACGCGTTTCGCGAACGTTACGCGCGGACAGCATTTTTCTAAATAAAGTGCGGGATGATTCACGTAGACCTTCGACTCATTCCTACGTGCATAATTTCATCGTAGGAACGGCAGAAGCTAGACAAGGAAATCGATAAATCATACGCGATCGTTTCATTGCCGGTACACGCAATCGCGAAGAAATGCTACTCGTTGCATGCTGTATCGGTTTCAAACAGCAAAAAGGAGAGAGTGGGAAGAAATGAAGACCAAAGGTGAATAGAAATGTGACGATTTGAATGATTCTTTGGAACAGAAGAAAGATTAAGCGAGGATATCAACCCAAGTATGTGCTTCATTTCTATTCTGGAACATTCCTCGTAACAAAATCTTTCCTTATGGTATTTTGCAATAACAACTCCTTTCTACCGAAGAAAACTAAAAAGTCTGTTCGAAATATCGACTAAGAATGAACCACATGCCTGGATTGTCATCTCCGCTTAATATTTCATCAAGTTCCATCTAATTCAATAAACGCCCCGAATCGCCACATTTTTACGTTGCTCGCGTTATCCATCATTCGAATAAAATTCCGCCCATCTCCCCGTGTCAAACGCCAGCAGAAGCTTGGCACAAAACGAGTAAACTGACTGCAGGGCGGCGACACCCGGCGTAGTCCTCACGAGGGTGGGTTTCCACGAAAGCATGCTGATAAAACCGGCGATCGATAAGAAGCCGGAGTGCATGCAGCGATATGTGCAACATCAACGAAAAACCATAGTAACGAGCGTCTTGTAACGGATTCGTTGTGAGATTCGTTGACAGAATAAAGAAACGTGGGAGGATGTAAAGGACTCACCGCCTGAAACTGCTCCAACAACTCCTGCCGGTCGTCGATCGCAGTGGCCATGTTGCTCGAATATAGTCTTATAATCCTTTCGTCTTTCCTTTCTCCAGTCTCTGCCGCGGCACTTCTTGCTCCCCCTTCTTCCTTCCTGATCTCGTGGACGGCGTTGCACACAATCGTACGGGAAAACGTCTAAACACGGGTCGGTAATTTTCACCGGGTACACGCGGAATAGTTACGAAAACGGTTACTTGGGGCGTTCTCGCACCTCGCGTACGCGTTTCTGGTCACGACGCGATCACGAAGTAGCCAGACACCGCGGGAACGCGTCCCACTAGCACGGAGTCGCAACGAACACTGAGGCGCCGTGCACCGAACGGAGCGCGCGCCAGCACGAACGAACAGCCACGGGAACGCCCGACGAATCCCGAAGGGACCATGGTCTAAACACCTTGAGCCAGGATCGTGCACAGGACTGGCGCCAAAGGACTAGCGCCCAAATACAGGGTGTCCCAAAAATGTTGTAACACGTTGAAAGGGGTGGTTCGGGAGGTGATATCGAACAACTTTTTCCTTAGCGAAAATGTTGTCCGAGGCTTCGTTAAAGAGATATGATCAAAAAACCCCGACCAATCAGAGCGCGCGTATACAGTTGGAGCGGCTGTGGTAGCGTATGAGTGCGGCCGCTTAGCGCGTAGCCTACGCTCAACTGGCATACTCGCGCTCTGATTGGTCGGGGTTTTCGCTTAATATCTCCTTAACGAAACCTCGGACAACATTTTCGCTAAGGAAATTGTTGTTCAGAATCGTCTCAGCTACCTCCCATTTCCGGCTCCTACGCGACTTTTGGGACACCCTATATTTGTCATATGTGTATAATAACATATACACATATGACATATACAATACATATTACTCCAATTTAGGCAACTCGTTCTCACTCACGTTACAAACTAAAAGTAAATTACATCTGACGTTTAAATTTAAAGTAACATCGAAGAAAATATATTGACGAATTTGAAACTCGATTGTAACTTGGGGAAGTAAGTAAATAATTTTAATTATCGGAACTCTTTAAAGATTTACTTTCTTTCCTGTTGAACTAGAAAATTGTTTAACTTCATAATCTCGTTCCCTTTAGTTATTCGAGAAATTTGTACTTTTTCCTTGTTCGAGCTGACATGGTAAGGCCGACCTTGGCGGTTTAACGAATATGCTCAAACGCTAATCGAAATTATGATTCTAACTTATCGCCTTAACTTACGGATAATTTTGTTATCTTATTTACTCTCGCTGACGTATTTCGAACATTTCGAACAGAAGAAACGCTTTCAAATAAAACGTGTTGCGCGTAAAAAGCACTCGAGCTTTTATTACTTTATGAACTGATCTTTGCTTTTATTATTCCATTGAACGTTTCTGGTTTCGTCGGATACGATACAATAGAGGGGACAAAAGATGCCATTATTTGGAACTATTCTTCCACGCCTGTTAGGAAAGTTACATGTTTGAGAACCTGAGGGCGGAAGTTGTCAAGTTCGATTTACTTTCAGTTGAACAGAGGGCTCTTTGCGATTGATCTAATTTAAGACGTCATGGTGCCTCGTTCTTCGAACAAGATCCATAAATTACACTTCGACTTGCCCTTCTAGGTTTCCAGTGACGACCCTACATAGAAACGATATAGGAGGTGACTAGGACCTCGCGCAACTGTGTTGAAATTTTGTTTTAATTTAAATAAATTTAAACTGGAATGATCCTATTATGTAATCATTATCTATTCCAAGTATTATTCTAGAATTTTATGTTTCTCTTAGTATTAATACTTCAATATTATTTTTTTGTTCCAAATATTAATATCGTTATTATTTTTAAAATATTGGTTTAGAAAATATAACAATATATCAATGGACGATGCCCTTAATAGAAAACCTGTCTTCTTTCGCACAAGATTTTTCGCCAAAAGTCTCGTAAACAGTAGAGCCGCCACTGTACGTGTCCCCATCGTAATAATTATGAACACCATGTAACAAGTGTCCAAGTCAAAGCAAAAGAACTAACCTATAAAATATCTACCATGAAATATTAGTCCCTCTTCTCGTTTTCTTGGAATCATTTTTCTCGCATTCTCACAAAAAATTCAAATATTCTACACAACTGATAACAGAAACAATGCCTTCAATTTGAGCCATATTGCTAGCAAAACCGTTTCTGCGCGCGTGACTAAAATACGAATGCCTTGCACCATAAAATTACTGAACACCGAGTGAAATATTGCTGACTTCCGTGTGCTGGAAATTACATACATATATACATGCATATATACGATCATCCACGGAATAAAACCAGTTACCTTAAGCGTGGATAACCCTGTTTACCTCGAATCTAGCAATCGCGGTAATTCGTAGAAAACAACACAGTTTCACTTCGGATCTTTTTCAATATCATTCATTATTTTTAATTTATAGAATTTGCGTTAGATTGGGTCCATAAACCGGAAGTTGCATCTGGGCACTTGTGACTCTAGCTCCAATACTTACACTAGACGACGATTAATAATATTTGACAAAGATACGATGTTTCGTTAAAAATTCGACATGGTAAATAAGAAATGTTGCGAATGCATACAAAATTTTCACTGATAATAGAAGTCTTTCCTGATAATAAAGTAATTGAAATAGATAATAATAGTTAACGACAAGAACGGAAGTCAACAATTTGGAATGAAATAACGAAAGGAGTGCGAAACATTCAACAATGAACATCTTTACTTTCGAAGCTTGTTTTTAAAGCGACGCTTGTTTACCATTCCTGCTATTAATTTTATCGTCTGCGGATAAAGAACGGTGTACTCGCCTCGACGCAATTAAATATTGAAACGGACCGCCTAATTGAACAACAATGCCACGACCGAAGGTTTAACAATTCTACGCGAAGCGATGACAACAATCATTGTGTACTTTGTCCTTGGAGACGAATCAAAATGCGATTGTAAAGTATAAGTTAATTAAGAATTAACGGTATGCAAATCGCGAAGGTGAAACCGACTCGTTTACATACAGTGGCGTGTCATATCTCCAGTGGGGTCCAATATAAAATGGAATTTGAGAAGCTCGCGCAAGAAGAAGGAACAAAGCACTTTTAATTTTGTATAAGAATAATATAAGTAATATAATAATATAATAAAAGAAAAATTGGGAGTAGGGCAACAAATACATAGGTACGACCCTGCTGGAGACCCTAGACAGATGACTTTTTACCCATAAGCTTACAGGTTACAACGCCACTGTTTACACGAAAGGAAGACGTGAACGACACCCTGTGAGTCAAGAGCGTTCATCTTCACGGAACCACACAACGAAATCATTCGATGGTGAATCATTTTTTGTCAACACGGTACTTATACATCGGGAAGAATAAATTCTGGTTGACTCATTCGCGTGTACCGACGTACGTCTGTTTCCATTCGATATTAAAATGCGTCGCTGGAGGTCGAATGGGTTATACTAATACACGCAATTTCATCGTGTACTATCGATATACCGAATTGTTACGATACAAAGCGACTTCTATTATCAGTCATCTCTACCAGATGTCTTTGCCAGAAATGTTCCTAATAAAAAGAGATAATCAAAGGCAAATTCTACAGTTTCAATAACGCTTCAGATCTGTAACTCTTCGATTCGACGTTAGAGGGCTACATCTGGATTACAATAAAATTAAATCTACTTTTGTTATCGAAATGAGAAGCTTCACAAGATAAATCCTCGCGTATCAAATATAAGATCCGTTGCTTTAAGCCTGATATCGAGATAAAAATCACTTCTGCGTCCCATTCTTTTTCTAACGCCTGAAATATTACTTTCGCTCAAAGCCCTGTCCTACACAAAATCACGAAAATCTTTCCCACCCAGCCCACCCAACTTCCCGTTGTACGTCATATATATGAGAAATTCACGTCTCCCCCAACTTTCATGTTCCGCCGCTCTTTATTGACATTCTATCTCTCCCACCGGTCACATGAATACGCTTCTACGGGCATCGACCCCTTTTTAAATAATGTTACATCACGGGAGATGGGCAACGATCGACTTGTCACAAGTCCTCCGTTTCTGGGGGGATTTCTCCCGACATTTCCCTCCACCGGCCTATAAAGTCTGTCCCCGTTCGTTCGTTACGTTGAAAAAAAAAATCTGTCCTACGCGAAGAGATTATACAGGATGTCCCAAAAATGTTGTAACACCTTGAAAGAGGTGGTTCGGGAGGTGATTTGAAACAACTTTTTCCTTAGCAAAAATGTTGTCCGAGGCTTCGTTGAGGAGATATTAACGGAAAACACTGACCAATCAGAGCGCGTGGATACTGTTGGAGCTGCCGCGGTAGCGTATGAGTGCGGCCGCTTAGCGCGTAGCCACGCCTACTGCGAGCGCTCCAACGGTATACGCGCACTCTGATTGGTCAATGTTTTACGTTAATGTCTCCCCAACGAAGCCTCGGACAATATTTTCGCGAAGGAAAAAGTTGTTTCAAATCACTTCCCGAACCACCTCTTTCAAGGTGTTACAACATTTTTGGGACACCCTGTATATTAGATAGAGTAGATAGATAGAGTAGGCAAGGCAGTCGCGGAAGTGTAACAATATTGGTAAGAGAAAAAAGATTGAGTGCACGCTTATCCTTCTCTAATTAATACATGCGCAGTTGTATTAAGAAACTTTGGTAGGAGAGAATACGAATTGAGTAAGTGAGTTTTATTTATCAGCACACGAGGTCGTATAACTTAACTATAACACCTGATGTACCCGTCTTACATTTGGTCATTCTTTAAATTCATTTAATTCTTGCTTTACGTTGCTACTCATTTCATAACTCTCTGGCAATTTTATTAGGGAGATTTTTTGGGACCCACCGGCCCCCAGCTCGGGTACTTCGGGATCGCTAAGCCCGTACTGTAGCTACAGTTAAAAAAACCATAGCTAGAGCCCCTGAGGGAAGCGAGGAGAAATGTAATTTCAATGATCTCTTTGATATCCCTTGATTCCTATAACATCTACCAAGTCTCGAAATTCTAATGCGCACAAAAACTTAGAAACAGGGATACTTTTTCGACTTGTTCTCTCTTTCTTAACATCTTACTATCTACACTTACAGAGTCTCCTATGACTCTTCTATTTATGTAATATCTTTGATCCTACATCTTTCGAACAGAATTACTTGACAATTTAGAAATTCCTACAATGACGATAGAGAAAATATGCTTTAGGATAAATTACACGTTTCAAATATAAACAAAGGTGATTACGAATTCTAGTTTCTAATTCTACATTGAATTCATCCCAAATAAAATTCTGAAACGTATTAGTGATCTGTTTTCCTCTGTGGGTTGTCCCAGAGAAGGCATTCCAAGGATTCCGAAGTCGGATGGAAAATATTTTGATCTGACTTTGGGAATGGTCACGTGTTCGATGAAGAAACGTTTACGACAAAAGTAAACAAGGTTAGTGAAGAAAAACATTGCAAACGGTTCGCAGTATTGAATGTACATGTACACATATACATTTAATATATTTTATCGGAAATCAAAGTGATATAATCTTACAAATAAAGGACTACTTTAACGCTACTTAGCCTTAAGTTACATTTACTGTTCATAAATATTCGTTTGTCTACAATGATTCGCGTATAAAGGAAATAAACTAATATATCCATGCGTCGTATAGGAAAAAACGATGGTTGTATCGCACCCATCAACAAAACGGTTTTCTCGTCAACGAATCAACTTCGAGAAGATTCAAATGAAAAATAAACAACAAAAACACGAACAAATGAAAATGTAAAAATACGAAATCTTCGATAATGTTTCTCTAACGACTATACACATTTTTGGTGGAATTTATGGGGCTTTCTTGCGAGGCGAAGATTGACGTAACAAAAAAAAAAAAAACAAAAAAAAATAAATAAAACACGTCGAATTTATAGTAAACCCTTCCACGTGTATTTTTCTGTAACTTGTACAGAAATAGGAAGAAATAAAGCGTGAAGAAACGATTGGCGCTGAATAGTTATGGTGATTAGTAACTGTGCACTGGAAGTTAAGTAACGCCTTCTGACTAAATCATTTCGATGAAAATGAATGATTCATTTACTTGTAAGTAATCATCATACGTATATACATCAAACAAAATTAGGCCATTGTCAAAGTCTTCGCCTGACCGTTAATTTTGCATTAAATTTCATAATTTTCTTATTTAAACACAAACAAAAAACATATATGCACAATTCTACGATACGAAAAATAAAATAGATGAAATATTCACCGACGTGAAAATAAATAACTTCTTATCACCAGTAAACAATTTGTAATCGTATCACAAATTAGGAGTTTCAAATGAAATTCTTTTCTATTTAAAAAAAAAAAAAAATAAACGATAACTTTCCCTTTAATATGCGTGACAATGAAAATGAAATGGCATTTAAAAAAAAAAAAAATAGAATTAGCTACGCTCGGAAATCAAAATTTGCTACAAGTATTCATAGCAACTAGTTACAACATTAATTCACAAAAGACGATTTGGTCGAAATATAATACTTTTACTTCGATAATACACTATTCGTTCAGATCCAGTTAACTGCTTTATCGGCTAGAAGTGCATATTACGTAAACGTTTAATTGCAAGGAAAAGAAAAATTAATACTAGACCGTTTTGTGCTTGTCATCGAGGGGGAAGGCTAACAAAAGATGAATTTCTTTCGTACGATGATTAGTATACAACTTCTTGGGAACGTGTAGGCACTTGCCTTTATGTATACTGAATCAATATACCAAGTCATCAGTATTCAACATAGTACACAAGTGTTTTATGGTAAAGTACAATATTCCAGTATGTCCATCCTGCATATAGCAACAGTTGTGTGAGTAATCACGCAGTACCAATCATCCCGAGCTATTCAATCACAATGCATTTTTAATGATAGTGTAACTCATGAATTTCTAATGTGCTTATTTTATTACATTTTGTGTCGCTTAATAGAAAAATGATTCTAAGTACCTTGTATAAAATATATATATGTGTAACCAATATATGCACGTGTATGCGTATACATACATATATTTTTATTATGAATAGAAACAAATGAAATTCATACTTCGTCTAACCGAGTCGCAAAAACACTATCGTTAGAAATTCACTGTGCTCCCGCGTATATCCAGAAGCGATAATCGAACAGATCATCGAATTCTTACGTATCTGTACAAAAATATATGTGTGTACACATAATGTCTCATCGAATCTTTGACCTACAGTCTGTTTTAAACGTAACGCTTAACATACTGATCTAGACACACACTGTGGTAGACGATCTACCACTATCGCTATACATCGGATTAGTTCAAAATGAATCCTGTTAACCGATTGCTGGAACAATCCGTCGTAACCGTCTTAAACTACGCCTAACAATGGAACATAGAGATGTTTGTTAACAGAATTCATTTGCAGTGTCAACACCGATTATTACGCGTTGTATGTTCCGGATATATACGAGCGTTTAAAACACACTGTGCATCGCGCGTCGTTCCACACATAACACGCATTCATAGAGTTTTAAGTCTGCATGGAAACTCAACGAACGACATTTGTTTTTCTTTAACAAGTAATTATACAAAGTTTCGCGCGCCACTGACGCGTCGTTTCGCCAATTGATCTAGGATAAAAGTTTCTTTTTTTTTTTTTACACAATGTACTTCGCACACCGTGCAAAGAACTACACAAGTAGACAGAGACACGCACATAACACATTTGCACGAGATAGTAAAACGAATGGCTTTTTATTAAAAAAAAAAAATCTTAGCTCAACAATCACATTAAAAAGTAACTAGAAAATCGTTATCAGCTACCATACGAAGCATGGTTTTGTACCAGAGTCAACAGCGAATACACAAATTCTATACTTTACATGAATGATAAACGATGACATACCCCTTTTTTTGTTTTTAGTTCTGTTCACAGAGAATGAGATCCATATTTGTAATGCTTATAACATTTATAAAATCGTTTATTACGGAATATATCTTATCGTCAGCGTAAGTATCTCTGTAACTTTTATATTTAGCGATCTTTTTATAATACTTTAATGTACAATGTAATAAGTATGCTTCAGTTACACTATGCCAAGTGCGTTAAACCGTGTAGACGTTAAAAATGGTTCGGTAAAATTTAATTATGTACCTGACCTGTGACAACTCCGAAAACTTAAGTTGAAGAAACGTTGAATTCGTAAAACGACAGAATCAAAATATTCACAAAATTGCGATGTCAAGTATGATTAATTCGCTTGCCAAATTTGAATATTAAAATAGTAACACAAGTCACACCAAGAAAAATACGACAAACATTACTTTCATTTGGTTGCAATCATAAAAATCATACGTTAACATTTCGAGTAACATTTACTCTGTAAAAGGTTATGTGCTTTAATTAGGCCCTTCGAGGGATCTCAACCCAAATTAACAATACCGTAAACGTCCGTGGCAAGAAATAAAAAAGAAATGAAATGAAAAATAAATGACTCGCAACTCGCACCAATTGTAAGTTGTACACTCTGGTCCAAAATCCGATAAATTTCAATTAACTATATCAGGAAGGCAGATTTAGATATGCTATGTATCTGCGTGTCAATTTCTTTTCTTTATACAAACTGTAACTTATATCTACTTATATGTTTCGATCTAATTTTCTTACATGTACGTATAATATCTATATCTTAATACACACATCTCTCAGTCTATCTGTACATACTACATGGAACAAAGTGGACTTCTGTTCTACTTTGCACCATTACAATTAAAAACTGATACAAAAACCGACGGAATCTTCTTCAGAGTAGAAGTATTCTGAGACGACTCTCCTTTTACCTTTCGTTAACGCGCACATTTCGCCGTCGCTAATTTCATTTTTATTACATATCGTTCCAAATCGTTAGGTCAAACAATGCTCAGGACTCATCTGCATCCTTCCACCCTTCACTCATATCAAGGGCACCACACTCACGCTACAGATCGCATTATAAATAGTGTTAACGCATACCATTGTTAGTTGACAGTCGTTGGTCTCGCGGAACATGAGTTTTCTTTTTCATCGACATTGGCAGCGACAGACGAGAGACAACAGATGCAATGTATTGACTTCCTCAAACTTCGCGTATAAATCACGAAGCACATCACGGTTCATCCGCGATATCCACGTAGTATGACTCATGGTAAAAGATTTATTTGTTAGAAGTTCATCTTTAATTTAGAATCAATGACATTTAATGCAAATGTAAAAATAAGCAGGATTTAATGTTATAAATTAACATTAACCAGTTCGGGTAGTCCGACCGTGTTAAAATGTAATGCAATGAAAATAATTTACCGCAAATACGAACGAATGTATTACTTATTGAACAATATGTCCACGTCCTGGCAAGGATAAACATCTCTTATCTCAAAAAAATAAAATACAATGCAATGTGATACATACGAAAAACTTGCTGTTCTATAAAACGCATCAAATCAAAGTAGAAAAATAATGTTCGTTAGTCGTCAAGATTGTAATTTGACTGTAATATAATACTTTATCTCCGACATACCACCCGCAACACACGATGACCTGCAGTACCAACGGACTGGGGTAAAAGTGATAGGTAACATTAAATGTCAGACTGTAAATTCGCAGTCCAAATAATTTGAAATCGGTGAGCATCCTAGCCTTGTACGGAGCTAACAGAATGAAATGGGCTAGTAAGTCCTGACGAAGGATGTCGTTTCCTGGATATCTGCTTCGCTATCTGTGCCCTGGTATCCCTGGGATTGAGAAAGGGAAAGAAGTGCATCCAGGCCTAACGATTCGGCTAGCGGGTCTGGCGCTCTCGACTACAGCATGGATAACATAAAAAAATATTGCTCTAAAACTATAAATGTAATAAAAACACTAGCGCGCAAATAAATGGTAAGCACCGAATAAATAAAATTCTACTGACTGCACAGTCTACGAATGAAAAGAAAACAATGGTAATAATAAAACGACAAAGCCAACAAACCTTTCTCTTACACAAATGAAACAAATATAAATAAAATTATCCGTTCTATAATTAGCAGCGATAACATGTTTGAGTCTACTAATGTAAACATACCGTCGAGTTTTGTTCTGCGTCTTTGCAATTACTACATATGTAATCATCTTCTTCTGCGATTTCTGTACGATCCAAACCGACACAGTGCATGTGAAACCAACCTTCGCAGCCACCATCGCACTGAACCCAATCGACTTCCCTACCTACATTCAAATAAAAGTATATAGAATATCATAATAACAATAATGTTGAAATGTTTGTGTAACAAACAGCTTCCTTACCGCTGGGTCGTAAACAATTAACGGCCGCGCAATCGTCTTCTTCGTCGGAAGTGTCTTGTTTAGTTTTCTTTCGATTACCGCCCCTCTTCTTTGGCACCTCGTCCCCTTCCTTACGTTTCATCTGGAATACAAAATTAACTGAAATCGAGCTAACCGATGTTCAATGAACTGTATTTAATCTATTGATTTTTAATTAAAAAATGTCTCGAATTCAAACTTCCTCACAATTTCAATTACTCGATACGCACAATTTTCTTGTCAACAAAATTGTAACTGTATTACATAACCTTAAAACGAGTAATTTTGTAAGTTTTAATTCGAGGCAGATTGTATTTCAAAATATAAATACCTTTCGAGGTCCGCGCTTAATAGGCAACGGGGAACTACTGGTCGATTTTTTCTCTTTCTGTAACCCCTTACGTTTGGTTAAATTTTTTTCTTCCATTTTTTGCCGCCCGAGTTTTTTGAGTAATTCGAACTCTTCGGACTTCCTTTTTCTTCCCCTCTTTTTTACATCTTTCGCGTCCTGGTTTAAATTAGTTTGTACTTCTTCGTACGACGCGTATTTGCGAACAGTACTAGGATTGTTAGTGTGACTTAATATGCGCCATATGTGTTGCGTTTCGTCAAGCGCGACTTCCAACAGATCACCTTCCATCATTAATTCTTCTAAGCGTAACCTTGCAGACTGCGAGAGCATAACTGCAGCTTCGGTGGAATCACTTGATTGAGACCTGCGCTGAACTTTAGATACTAGAAAAAAAATACATATTTATAAATTTTATAGATATTTAATTCTTATAGTCAAACGCCGTTTTTTTTTTTAACGGAGAAATCTTACTATAAGAGTATGCGTGTTCGTTACTATTGAACGTACTGCAACTTGGCTCGTCGTCGTCGATGGTAACAACGTCATCGTCGTCATCCTGAAATACATCGTATATATTTAACCATGTATAACGCATTTTTACACAAATTTAATTAGAGCTATTGACACTTACCGCGGTACTAAGTGCGCTATCATCCGAGTGTACACCGCTAAGTGGCGTGATTGCCTGCACTCTTTGATGAAGTTCAGGATTATTCGCCGCCTTCTTCAACTCGCTGCTGATTATCTTTTCTGTTTTCTCCCTTGCTGCTGCTTCTACTAATTTTTGTGTCAGAACGGACAATTTTGCTAGTGCCGATGAAATTTCGTCTGTAGCCAACGCTTGTCGAGCTCGATCCTATTAAAAATACCATTGAATACAAATCGTGTTACACATAGAAAGCATATAACGCATAATTTATTAATCTTCAATTTCTGATACGTGACACACCTGCCAATTCATTGCACGTTCCGTTAAACATTGCAATGCCTCACCCTCGGGCAAACGAATTGGAATTTTTTGAAGACTCACTAAAAGCGCCAAAATTGTTTCCAATCGTGGCCGCCTCGAACGTAAACAACAGGGACATAAAAATTTAATCTCCCTTGATATCGGTAATTTTCCTTTGTATGACGTTTTTGGTAAGGGTACACAATTTGCTAAAATGAATTATTACGTTTAACCTACATTTTTACATTTATATTTAAATGCAAGTTATGAGTATTATACTTACAATGGAACCAATCTTTACAAAGCTCGCATTGAAGCATAAGCCCGAATCTTGGTCGACGACAGACGCAATACCTAGAGTCTTCCACCTCGGTTTTCATTAAATTTCTTTCTCTTAAATTTCTCATCGCTTCCATTTCGCGTTGTTCGGCTAATTTAAACGCAGCCACGACGGTAGCCGAATCATTGGAATCATCCAATTTTGTATCACAGACAAAGACAGGTCCAACAGACTCTTCACTCTTATTCTTCTTAGCCTTCAGCGCTTGTATACCAACTCCGATTCGGGGGGATAAAGCCTCCATTAAAGTATAATGTGAGTTTTTCCTTAGGAATGTTCTTGCCGTCCTTTCCTTCCAAGCTTTCGCTTGTGAAAGAGTGGACTCTAAAATTGGAAGAGCATCCAAGTGCAATGGGATACTTCTGCCTTTTTTTATAAGATCATCTAATGTATCATAGTAAGGAAAATTCTCTCTCGCTTGTACTTCCTCTACCATTTTCGTCCAATTTTTTGCTTTATTCAATGTATCTTGGAGAATATCTAAGCTGGGTAAGTATGCATCTACCTCATCAGCTTCGCGAATAAATTCTTCTAACGACGATATAGTTTGTCTGCTTTTCGTGTGAAGATACAACTTTGCTTTCTCTTCCCACTTGTCGATTCCGATCATTAATGCTTGTAGTTCGGAAAGTGTATTTTCTATACTTAAATGAGGCGGTATCGCCATACCTTTTTCAATCAATTTTGCTAAATCATCGCGATGTATAGATTTTGGATCTTCTTGAATAGATTTTACTTCCTCCAGCCATTGAATTTGCGTTAATCTCTACAACAAATAAATACTGAATTGCACTACAGAACAGTGATATATTATTATTAAAAATGTGTTTAATTTATATCTACTTACTTGTTTCAAACGAATAAGTTGAGGTAACTCAATACATATAGAATCTCCAAAGTCAATACACTTTTCTAGTTGTTCAATATCACAATTATCTTCCTTAGCATCTAACTCCTCTGCTTCTCTTTGAAATTGTAACACTTGATCGAGTATAAATTTAACACCATCAGATTCTTTAAGTTCACAGCACAGATTAGTAATTTCTTTATAGAAAAGGGTTAATTCTTCTACCGTAAGTTTATATTTAGTTTCAACCGATTGTCTGGTTCTGAATTAAAAAATCCTCACATCAGATTATTTATATAATACATATATTACCTTAGTAACTAAAAACTAATCATACCTGGTACGCTGCTTATTATTTAACAGTTGTTGTGCAACACTAGCACATTTTTCTGCATCTTGCACAGCAGTAGTTAAGGCTGTTAACAGTTCACTTTCAGGAAACTTTTTATTTTCTGCTTCATTCAAGAGCTCCTTCAGCTCGTTCAACTCAATTTTATTACTCTTCTTATCGGGGTCCATTGCTTCTTTTACTTTGGCCACCCATGAGTCGAATGACTCGGCTTTTAATTTTAACTTTTGTAACATAATCGGTAACTCGTCTAAAGTATACCGGTAACGTAATGTGTGCTTATCCGGTGGGCAATCACAAAGGTCAGTAAAATGTCTCAGGCAAACTAACTGAGAACTCTGGCATGAACATGTAACCGCACTTAAGAAACAAGTTGTTTTGCACGCCTCACACTGTCTCTCATCATCTGGTAATAGTTCAAATGCTTCGCGTTCCGCTTCCGTTACGCCCTAAAAAACACGATTTTCAACACAAAAATCATTCGTGGAACCGTTTAACTGTTCTCACATTTTAAAAGAAACATGGAATCAGAATGAGACTATCTATTAACGAAACACATGTACCCATCTGTACACAAATTGACGTCGATATGATCAAAGATTTTGCGAGTACACGAATCATTTAAGAATATCGCGAACACTCGTTGATCAAATCGCCGGAAATGTTAAAAAATACGTTGAATCGACAGAAGAAACGTACTGACTGTTTAGCATCATGGCAAGGCTTTAAAAACATAACCTCTATTCGCCAATAAAAGTTACATAATCAAGATCAGAGACACACCAAATAGGCATCAGCTCGTCAAGGTCGATAACTAAACAACGATCACACGAAAACTATTTTAGCGACAACGGACACAAGCTAACCAAATATAACGAAATATATGGAGGCATTAATGAGGAATATAACGTGGATGGTGGAGCTCTACTGCAATGACCAATGGTTGGCAATATCAGACGCACACACACGTCTTTTACCGCGTGTGCCCGCATGGCTACGAGTCAGTGACGTAACTAGTCGTGTGCAAACCACGCGAGGGGTTCCCTAATCCGAGGAGCTCCAATTTTGAATATAGAAAAACCCCACGATCGACTTGTCAGAAATATTTTACGTACGAAACTTTTCTTCAATCTAATAAATACTGTTCTACAAGTTTTATTGATTATTCTTCTTTAAAAATTAAAAATAATGCTGTCTTTTTTGCTTAATACATATAGGATAGATAGGGAAGTATTAACTTTCATATAAAAGGATCTCGAAATAAATTTTCAGCACACGGGTGCCAAAGATGCTGGTTACGTCGATGCTACGAATATATGCGTGCCGGTACATTCGACAATGTGTGCATGACCACATACTTGAGTCGGTGAGGGAATGCTTTAGCATTCACTATACTGTTTGACCTAAATACATTGGTCTGTGCATTTAGAATTATAACCCGTCCTGTGTGACTGGCTAATGTTGGAGGCAAAATTTGAATGTCTAATACACATTACGCTCTTTAAATTCAATTAATTTTTCAAAACATATCGATCAGACAAAAAGTGTAATATTTAAAATAATGAATCATTTATGTGATAATATATTGGATCAGAATACTATATATTTTTTCGAATGTATTTTTTGTATCAGGTATTTCATCTATAATAAATAACGATGTCAAAGAAACACATAAAATAAATTTGCGAGGGATTCTATTATTTCATCGCTTTCTCGTTGCCTCGCTTTTTTACTGAGACGTCAAGGATAACTTCTAATTTCACTATTCAAAAGAGGATGAAATCCCGAGTAAAAAAGTATTATAGTACACGTGGTCTATAGATAAGTTACTATTAACAAGGTACATCCGCGAAGTGCATCCTCTCCCCTCAATCTGATTTCGATGAAACCTTGTAACCTTTGGAGAGCGGCCAAAAATAAGGAAACAAATAAACGATAGTTACAGGGCTCACATAAGCTAATATCTTTCTCTCAAATTATGATTTCCTCTTAAATACAAATTTTATATTATACAAAAATATAAAAAAAATGTTTCATGCGTAATAGTTGACTAAAGTACTTGGGAGAATGAAAAAGTTTAGCCTGTATATAGAATCAGCCATTTCACTAAAACAATCATAATATTCACATAAATGCAACTTACCCATTCCAACAGATTTTTTCGTAACTTCTTCTCGTCGTCTACCATCTGCAGCATGTCATGGTAAGTTGCAGTCGCAATTCCTATGTCCAGTGAATCTGGATCCAATGACATTTTACACACCAATTCATCGTGAGAAAATACACAAAATCGTCTTAAATTCGAGTAATGCGAAATGCATTCCCGACCAACTCTAAGCTGTTAAACACACAATAGAATTCATAAAATATACGATATTAAAATCAGCAATACAAATTTAAGGTTACAACATACCCAATCGGCAGGTGCGAAATTCACAGCTTCGGCGAAATTGTATCCCTGATTGAATCCCGCGTGATACGCTCTTGGAAATGTCACAACAAATTCTCCTGCGTGTTGGTCAGTTCTAAATACTGGAACACCTGAAAAAGAAATACAAACGACATTAGTACTTTATTATATAGATCTTATGATTAATTTTACGTTACCTTCGTTTGTTAAAATGTTGGGATTCATGATAGTGACCAATTGATGGAGCAAATCTGGCTGACTATGAAACAGTTCTGGTGCAGCCGATTTCATTGAGTGTTCAAAACGTTCTGCTTGAGAGCCAGGTACACCATACCAAGTTTTTGGCTCTCCCCAATGTAGGTAATTAATCGAATAGCTCCAATGATCCTCGTTATGCCAACAGAATGTGGCAAAACACATGCCAACATACATCCATGGAACTTTCATACCACTAATGTCAGCGTTAATGTGACCTAGTACGCTACTCCGTAGAACTGGTAGATTATTTAAATTCCACGAAGATTCCGCGTATTCTTGATCACACGTAAACAGATTAACGCTCGTCTTTGTTGGAAATCCAGATCCATGATCCATTGTGTGTAAATCTGCTCCATACTCAACTGTTACATCTTCATCGATAGAGGAAACTATTCGCCAAAATTCTTTTTCTACCAAGGATGTTGGCACCATCTACAGCAAAATAATTTCAAATTTATGTGATTTAATCGATCTTATACATATTCTATTAGAAAACATAAGAAAAAGAAAGTAACATACATGTACAGGCATGTTGAAGTAATCGCTCTTAAATTGATCAGCCATTTCTCCAAATTGTTGAAGAGTATACTCTCTTTGAGCTTGCTCGAATCCAAATGCTTCCATTGGCTTAGAAACTTCTTCAGCCACACATTTTGGACACCGCCAATCTCCTTTTGGTATTTCTGTCAGTGGTGGCATGAGACAGAAAGTGTGATAACTGTCATCACATCCATCACATAGAAGCATGTTTTCTTCGTTATCACCTCTTCCACAATTGTGACAAATATATTTTGCCAACTGTATAATAAGATATACAATTTTAGAGAAAATATTTACACATACTAATCATAAAAAATCAATACACAAGTTATACTCACCGGATCAAATTCATAAGTTAGTTTCAAACCTCTGGTCTTATTAGATTTCTTTCCCTCTTTGGTATTAAATCCAGCCATCTTTGGACCAGGTCCATAGAATTGTAACTTCTTAAGTTCTTTGCTATTGTCATCACCATTCTTACTTCTGAATCCATCTTTGCAATCATTATCAGAATCACATTCCTCCTTGCAATCTTCTTGTTTAACAGATATTTCCGGTTTCTCTTCTTGACCACTGAATCTCTTTGACCGCCGTGAAAATTTTTCAGCTGGAGGTTTAATTTGCTGTCGTGAGATGATTCCATGTGGTTTGTAATCTCTGTCCTTTTTCTCATTCACATTGGAATCTGGTTCAATTTTCTGTACAATTCAATGTATATTAAATATATGGATTACTATAGATTTTAGAAGATACAAAGAAAAAATAACTTACAATGTCTGTCAAAGTTTTTCCCTGCTTAAAGACATCAAATGGATATAAAATTCGTTCATAGTGATTCTTTAGTATACTTCCTACGCTACGACCAGATGGATAACCTAGTTTATTTGCAATTTTTGCCCACCTTCTTTCCCTTGTTACTGTTTCAATTCCACCTGGAATTATTATGCTTAATATTAATACATTAAGTTCACAATGTGAATTCTAACTAATGACCTTCACAGTTAAATAGCAGAAACAAACCTTCATCTGTGACAATTTTGTGCAAAGAATATAGATCAAGAGCTTTGCGTTCTACAAGTGGGATTTTTAAAGAAGAACCTTGAAGCTCCCAGAATTTTGCAATCTGGTCTAAAAAATTAAGTTTTATCCTTGTTTTTGCCTCCAATTCATTTAATCTTTGGATTCGTGGAACAAATTTGAATTTATCAACATCAACAGCAAATGGTGGCTGCCAATTCTGCAAGAAAGCAGTAATAACTTCTAAATTTCAATTCATAAACATTTAAAATGTTATTTTATTCGTAATGTAATAAAACAGTAGGATATGAAGATGAAGATGAAGTCAGATCACTAACATTATACCATTACATTATTATTACATGAAGTTATTACTAGAAGCTTTGTAAGATTTGGGACTATTTTTACTCATAGGATTTTGCTATTTACTGGATATAAAGTTTAAAATAATTTCGTTAACAATTTTCATTAGCCTCGCGATTACGTAACGGGATAAATTTATTATAAGAAAATCACGTATTTAATACATTGATCGGTTGTTTAGAAGTATATGTAATTATGCAGCTTGTATCCCTAAAAATTGAGATTAATTAAGGATACCAAATAAGACGAATTTTCATTCATCGTCTACGCATAAAAAAGAAAGCGTATTGCGTTGTTTACTACACAACTTTCAAATTCGTACACCTATGCAACAATACTTACAGGTCTTCAGATGAGTCAATTAGTTTAATAAAATGAGGATTTATGCCTATAATACAGATAAATTTATAAAAACATCGTTACAAATTTCTGTCGATGACGACCCAGAATAACACGGAAAAGGAATACAGAGGAATTACATATATTCTGTTATCGTTTAATACATATTGAAAATTCATTGACGAAGCCAGTAACCCATAAATACAGGTGTCTAAATAATCAATAAGTGCCTTCGTAGCCTCATCTATATATCATGACGCAACAACCGTTGCAATGGTTGTCAGTCAAATTTTTTTAAGGGCACGGCTCATTTTTAATCAGAACAATGAATTTCTTCCATCGAATCCTATTTAGAATTAGACATTTTCTACTCGATCACATCAAGCAACGAGACATCAAAATATTATCGTACGATGTATATCAACATCTACGAACAAAATAAACGAAACATCGCCAAGATTTTCTCCATATACGACGCCCATTTAATGTCGTGGCCATAGTTATTTCCGTAATGGCGTCATCCCGTTACAAAATACAAATTTTCTCAAGGGCTCACGAGTAATTGACAAACAAATATCTACACTTGGATTGGACTATTGGACATATAAGAACATAGATCAACTTGTCAATTAAAATTAACAACAACGCTCTTGACCGAAATCAGTTCTACATGACCTAAGAAAATAATTCGCAGAGAAGAAGCAACGTTGTTGGTATATTCTACACTGTTAAACTCATACAAACGCAATTCTTTTTTACAAGAAGATTCTACGACTTCGAAACATTATTCAACTGTAAAAAGTACAGAATTCACGACAACAGGTTTCAACGATTCAGATAACGAAGAATAAATCGCGGAAGTTTACAATTTGGATTAACGAATACTTGTTTGTAATAGCTTGACATTTACACAGATATGTTTTCAATGTGTAAAAATAACACGTTGTGATAAGTGTGTTAATAAAATAATCTCAAATGTCGTGAATTGATTGGTCGAAATCGTAACAAATTTAGAAATACTAATCGTTACTTTTTACTTTATGTAATTAAGATTGTTAAAAGATTCGAAATAAAATCACAAATTACATGCATGGCATGTCACAACCTCTTCGAACAATTTGCACCACCTCTAAAACAACGATCTGAAATATGTGCGATTTAATTTAGAGGCAAGGTCTAAATATAGCTCAATCGTATATTATATTTTGAAGAAAATCAATTTTCCCGTTAACCATTCTACGTGACGGTTTACAGAAGTCTTGCGGGATTCGATTCATCCCAGGATTATTTTTAAATTCACCACGTAGCTTCTTCTCCATAATTACCTAAATGAAACTACATTTGCAAAGACGTACGTTGTAAAACCTTTTTCCAAGCGTGTAGAAACAAAATGGTGGCACAAATCGGTTCTAATAGTGATACAAATTAAACGAACAATGCATGAAATATGGATGACGAGACGAGATTACTTCGGGAGCAAAAATTGTTTCTAAAAAAATTCGACGAGATTGAATATTACACGAAGATAATTCAAGCATAAAGAGCAACGTGAGTTTTGTTCATCAGCGTAAAAAACATTAAACACGGCTATACTCGCAACATTTCCCATATGACACTCCCAAAAATTAACAACATTCACCTATACGAAGCCTCGCACGATGGTGTACGTGCTCTGAGACGAAATAGAAACTTCTGGGAAAACATCAAACGATTCCCATATTTTTGTTACCACGATATCAGAACGAGGAGGATCGTTGACCACGGAACGACGATAATTTTTTTCAGCATTTTCTCTATCGATGCCATCTCGTCATCGTTTCGTATTTCCACAACAATTTCGAGACATTTTGCTAAGGTGACATTGTTTCGATTGTCTCGGCCATTTTACATAGCGTACCTTCTAGCTATAACGATATTAATGTCGCAATGTGACGAGTACCTAACTACTCGTTTTCCCATATTTTTTTTTTTTTTTTTTTTTTTTAATACTTTCCGTGAATCCCACACGACGCCAGGTATAACTTCCCGGTGAAAAAGATAAGAACGCATTAACGAACATGGACGCGATTCCGATCTATGTATCTCGCAAAAGCGAAAATGCCCTGACAACACGGGCATCGAAGCCTTTTCTTCCCTTTTTACCGTATTATCATTCGTCTCGTGTCGACGGAAACGCTATGGACTCTTACCAGACCCGAGCTGTTTCAACGCCGATACGAGGCAAAAGGCGAGCAAACGATATTGATATCGTGAAATATGGTGTTCACGGTGAAAATAGTCGTCGCGCATCGGATTTAATTTTCATTCGAATGCACGTATTACGTAGGAACTCGTTTATTTCGTGATGTCACGGCTGTGATGTCCGTACGGAAGCGTCATAGGATGTAAACGGGGTCGGTGCGTGCATGCCCGAACAACGTTCAACGAAAGAAGAAGAAGAAAAAAAATAAAACACACAAATTCGTCGATTCCTGTGGTTCCGTTTAAAACGGGCCAGTCGAAGAATAGGAGGATCGATGTGCGGCGTCCTTCTCTCGTTAAAGGGAAAGGAAAGAGAAAGCGGGTTGGACAGAGAAGAAAATGATTGATGTAATCTCGCGATGGAAGGATTTACTCACAGGCGGCGGTTTGATCTTACAAATACCAGACTTCTCCGCGATCGGTCGTATTTTTGCAATGTAGCCAAGGGGGTCGTGAAACTCCTCGATACTCGGTTCGAAGACCGGCGCCTCTGGCGGTATAATGAACTCGAAGTCCGAATCACCACGATCGCAAGCCATGTCTTGGGTGCAGTGATAAGTCCCGAAAAAATCCTCGTAACCGAAGTTCGTGTCGAACCTCGATACCATGACTCGAGTGTCTAACACAGCTTGGACGCGCGGATAGGTGGCCCCAGCACACGCACCTAACGCGGGTGAGGACCTCGCGCCAGCTCCAGCAACCGTTACTCAGCCTCTGGCTGCGAATATTTATTCGGCAGTGTGCTTAGGTGAATCGTCATCACGAGCTGCATTTGTGTATCGGATGGAAAGCGATTGACAACGTTACGCGTTAACCACGAAACACACGGCGCACCAACATCGACGATATCACGCGGAGCCTCGCACACGAGCAACTGTCTTATTCCTTGCTTCGTATACCTCCCCCTCGACCCCTTGTGCCCCTTGTGTTCACTTGACTGTAACGCGAGGGTGGCGCCACCTTGCACCAGGGATTATGTCGATATTGTTATGTGTCCTGGTGGCTCCCCTCGGCGGAATTCAATTAAATTAAGTAACGCGCCAAAATTCAATATTGTACAGTGGTGTAACTGAAGTAATGCACAAGATCGTTGTTATGTAAAAGCATTGCTGAGATGTAAATCACTCACTCTTAAAACAAATGATTGATTTGATTGGTTGTAAATTTTGTTTTAGAAACAAAAAATAACATTTTACTGTTAAAATTATTATATTCAATTGGCATTCACTAAACATAAATGTTCGAAGCAAGACGTGTTTGTTTAATTTTCCCAAATAACTAAATAAATTGAAATATTCCTAAACGCCCATACAACAATACATAGCGATTCGTGCACGTTACCCTTTTTTTTTTTTGGAAAATAATGTATAATGTATAATGTTAGTGATCTGACTTCATCTTCATCTTCATATCCTACTGTTTTATTACATTACAAATAAAATAACATTTTAAATGTTTATGAATTGAAATTTAGAAGTTATTACTGCTAAACGCATATTTGTATAAACCAAACAAGCGCCTGTGATAGAAATAAGAAAATGTGCAGCTAATTTGTATCAAACATAAGTGTTAGAAGATGAGGGGAGAGGTATGCACCCATAAAACGACTATAGATTTTCATTGGGCAAGAGGAGGGAATTTTACCTCAAACGCCATCTTCCAGACACACACCAAACTTGTAAAAGTCTGAAGAAAATAAACAACTAACTAACTAACTAATTAAACGCATATACGAGCGCAGGTTAAAAATATTGTTTACTGCATAAAATAAACAATTAACAATACGAGCGCTGTAAAAAATGTGCTCGAATTCGAAAGAGAACTGCGCATCAGGCGCTGAAGTTTCATCGATTGTAAACGATAAATAAACACGAAAATTCCCTATGACTGGTTAGCTTTTTTCCTTATTATATAATCAATTTTGTTGTTCGCTTACAGGAGTTTTTAATGAAAATTATGTAACAAACCATGTCTATTCTGAATATTAACGTTAATTCTGAAATAATTTGTGATTTGATCCATCGTAGTTACATTAGATTTGCAACACATGGTACTCAAATTTTATTTCAAAATCGATTCTATAGAATCAGAATAAAAATTTATAGAATAGAATTTATAGAATAGCGTATGTATTTTTAATACAAAATGTCACGATTGCCACTTTGTACAGTAATTATTAATAAAACTACATCTAAATTACATCACTTAAATTTATCACTCTCTGTGAGATAGATGGCGTTGCAATGAAGGCATTGAGAGGGGTGTATCTAAACTAATCAAGGCTTGAGGTTAATTACATCAAAGGGATTCTTACTTCTTTGAAATGCTTTATAGCAAAATTTGTATTATTAATGCAATCATTAATATTAAGAGCTATTAATTTTGAATTTTGAACAAATAAGTCTTTCTACTTAGAAAGTTAAAGTTAAAGCTCCATTAATTTCATAGTTGATTCGTCCCTGCTGACGAATACACTTCAGTCCCTTGGGAATATTTTGCGACGATCTCTTCCTTCGGTGTCATCGAGTACGTAAAGTATTACGTAAGTTTTATAATATTCATGTGATTATATCTAAATATTTATTATTTATTTAAACAAAATGAATTCAATTTTCTTATATAGATGATTGTCAAAACTGTAATTACATTAACAAGTAGATGTTACTATTTGGTTATGTTCTTATACAGAGTCTAATCAATATGGGTCATAAAGACTTTGGAAATCTTGCCAAAATCAGTGGTGTCACATACTTTCGCATTAGTCAACATGAACAAAAAGCATTCAAGGGATTTTTCTCAGAAGGTATACCTAATCTGGCACGTCGTTTCAATTGGAGCATACTTCGATCTACACCTTGTAAGTGATTTTACTAAATACTGGTACAATGTATCAATAGTTTTCTTTAATCTATTTTATAAAAATAGTGAATATGCATTAAGAGAATTGTATTATATAATAACACTTGTGATACTTTTAATGGTAATTCGTACATAAATTTAAACACTTCATTTCGTTACAGTTTTCCTTATGACTTACATGATTATGACGTGGGCTGACGACGTAAATCATGCTATGCACCGCAAGAACCCAGTATACCATGATTAGTTTCATGGTTAATAATGCATTAGACATAATGTACATAGTTAATTAATTAGAAATAAAAATTCAAACTCTAGAATTTGTTTAGGTATTGTTATTTAAAAATGATGAAAGAAAAAGTTAACTGTAAATCATGTTCAAAGCATGAATCAAAGAAATCCATTGTATATTTACTAATTTTATTTGTTGACTTGTAATAAGAAAGTTTATTATACCCTATAAAAACTCTATCTATATCTATATCTATAGTATATTATAGATATTGTTATTTTCATTTGAAATATTTATGTTTTACGAATAAATTAACCTCTTGTTTGGTCTACAACAAAATTTTGATCAATTTTATGAATTCGGTTCACGATCGTTCGTTCATTTTTTTTTTATTACCTTTCTCCTACTTACGGGATAGGACAATGAATATTTTATGAAAATACTACATTTTTAATTAACATGCAACAAAGGATAACAAAACAAGTAATGTTTCCCATCAAACTCTAATCAACAGATGTTACTCATCTTTCTTCGAGAAAAATTCTGCATATTCGTTCGTTGTAACGAATTGTTTGATTGGTTCAAGATACAAGTCATCGGATTTCTTCGGGATTTTCGTGGCATCACCTGAACCATCAAACTACTACACCCCGTACGTCGCCTATTTCCATTAATTTTCACTTATTCGTTCTTAAATAACGTAATCATATTTTCCTCGATTATAATTAGTTATGAAGCGTACCATAATAAGATTCTTGACCAGTATAATCATCGATATTACAATTTTTAATATGTTCTTTGGTAGAACATATAGAATAAATTCAAACAGTATTGTCTGCTCTAAAGAATATTCGTGACTACACCATAATCCTCAGAATACGTGTATGATATACATAAACAAAATTAAGAAGCGATATTTTAGTAAAAAATGTTCAATTCAAATCGTTATTATTAATTTCTTCTCGTGAATTATCGTAAAGTTCTTATCACCATTGTTCGTTCTATTCCTACTATTATTTTGGTAGCACCATCGTTTCCGTACATATTGTACTATATTCTTTCACGCGATTCGTAAGATCTCAACATCGATAAATTTTAATTGTTCATAATTCCCAGCCAATTAATCTTCGATCGGAATATATCTCCAATACGTAGGTACGGCCCTGCCTCACTGTGTCGAAAGGACCCGATTCCGTTAGATCTGAACGTCCATGTTCCGCAGGTAAATGCCAACCAATGGGAGAGCCCGTATCAGCGACGCACCTGGGTAAAACAGGCAAGAAACGAACGGGGCAACGAGCGATCAGGTAGTTGTTCAAGTATTTCCAGTTGAGCATGATCGGCACGTAGAGCTCTCTGCCGAAAACTTCCCCTCCCTTTCCTTCTCTCTCTTTCTCCCTTTGGGTGTGTGCACATTGTGAACATTTGTATATAGGTAAGTAAGCAAGGAAACGTTCGCGCGTGTGAAAAAACAGTTTCTGTTCGCGTTCACGTTTGCGGCGAGCTTGTGATACCTCGATGCCCGCTTATCCCGTACTGGTGTCAAGCCGCGAAACAACGTTCCAACGGACACGGTGAAAACCCTGCTGTCAAGGTATTTATGGAAATGATTGCTTGACCGAAGTCATTGCACCGCGATAACGTGAATTTCTCCCGACCACGGCGGTATCCAGAAGCGATCACACCTGTTGCTCTGTACGTCGCCGATGATAATCGACACGCGAGCCTGCCTATCTCTTATGTGTGCATACCCTTCTTTCGTGGCTGGTAACGGGCTTCGATAAGAAAAATCTTGCATCTATGCGATGTGGATTTTCTGTAATTCACGCGTGTGCTTGCCTTTCGAACGGATTACGTTCCCAGCAGAAATGGAAAGACGCGCCGTCGGCCGTCGGTACACTCGGCGACGAACCGTGGAAAAGAATCAGTTGCAATTATATTTCCGGTGGCATTTCGTCGCGACGCAGTGCGGTACAGTCGTACGGTAAACAATTGTGCACGATGGGAGCTCGTCTTTACTGCTGGTCGTTGCACTTTGAGAAATTCTTTTACAAATAGGCTCCGAATAGGATTGGGCTGCTTGAATAATTTTGGGTAAATTTTTGTTCGATTAATGAAATCGTTCAAATACGCGAGAAAGTAATCTATTACGTATCGACGTGTATGCATTTGAAATTTATATAATATTTTAACATATTTTTACGAAGAATACGATTCCTGTTCGATTAACACGTTCACTGCCAGACTAATACTCTTGAAAATTTCTAACGCGATTTAATTTTGTTTACAGACTATTGGAAGCTAGCGTAATAAAACATTTATTTTGTTATTTAATTTTGTAACTTCATCAAAATTCAAGTATCTCATTTAAATGCATTTCCTATGACACGTAACTTTCAGAATTAATAATTTTCGTTTTTCAGTGAAAAGTACTGAATCACCCATGTATGGGTGACGTGGCGATCAACGTGTTAATGCCATAAAAGAACCAAATACACGAATATCCCTATAATATTCCAAATACTCGTGTGATTTTTTTCTGATATGCGTAACTAATAAATATTTTCATTCGTCCTTCTCCTTCGCCCGAGTAACGGATAACTTTCGTGATTTACAAACACAAGTCGGTGAATATAGAACGTTGTTCGATATTCTTATTGTTTGTTATCCAGATATAAAAATGTGCTCAACTATGCGTTCGGGATCGCGACGAAAACTGCGCGAACGTCGGCGAGACTAATAGCATCCCAATGCACGAAGTACAGTGATTTCCATCGTGCTGTATGTATCACGCATAGCCACCGTAGCAATCGTAAATCGTAGCGAGCGTTTTTATCACGTTATCACTGTCACGTTCGGATGAATCGCGATGATTCATTGTTTTGGAATACCTGTTACTATTCTTCTCTTCCTAACCTTCGTTTTTCAACCTATCGACGCATTTTTCTTATTAGACACTTCGCTAATGTAGGTCTCTATTTACCGAGAAGTTATACTAAGAGTTAAAGCAAATATATCAATACATCTGTGGAGTTAACCAACTTCGTGGCATTTACGCGTAGCTACGTGTAAGATCGCGCCGAAGAAACTTACGCAGAAAATAATAGTAACTCTCCCGATCATGGAAACGAGAAAGATCGGTGGATATTTCTCGACTGTTTTATAAGGAGGTTTCCCGCCCATGACATTTACGATAGACGTTCTCTCGATTCCAGCAAACGCATTGTTTATCGTGAATCGATAACACCGATGAGGTTTAATATACAATTATCCCGGACAAAGTCGCGACAACGTTAAATTGCTTGTATCACGTAAAAATCCTTATCTCTGAGATAGTCGATGTTGGGATAAAATTACGTGGGCTGTTTCGCAAGTTCCTACGGTTCCATTCTTCTAACTATAAATAACGCAGACACGTAGATTTAATTCTCGATTACTTTCTTGATCCAATTAGCGATTTTTAAACACTGATTTTATTGCCCGATGACATTTGTGGCAGATTCAGAGGCGCAGCGAATGAAATAATTGTATTATTTTAAATATTGTGGTACGATCGTTTCGAAGAAAATTCGCTTAGATCTACAGTGACTTAGATCTAGTTTCTTATTGAAAGGATCGACAATTAGACTGCTGATTCGATGGATTTACGATACAAGCTAATATAACAAATACGTGCAAAACGAAATGACATTATTATATTAATCGTAGAATATATCGAACATACATCGCGTATATTTTCTGTGAGTTTTCCATATTACCATGCGTCATGAATACGTAAAATCCACAGTACAGTCATAATTATTTTAATCGACTAACGAAACACTCGAGGCATCCGAAGTCGAAGATGCCGAAGAAGCATCGTAACTACGTTACAACCACCTGTAATTCACGCCTACGAAATGCCTACATGTTTCCCATTACGATCGCCGCGGCATAAATTGCAAATATTTACAGAACTCCGTGCACGTCGATATTGCGTTGAACGACCTTCGATATTCAGAGAGGGGAAAAATGTGACCGGTGGGGTTCAATTTTTTTACAATGCCACGCAAGTATAACGATGCAGTCCAGATCCTTTTACGAGTAGCGTTAATTAACTCCCGCGGAATACCTTCTAAAAATATCTAGGAAGGTCAAAGGTCCTGGATATTTCCTGTATACTTACTTCATTTAATCGCAGATTTCATCAATTTTTTTAAAACTGTTTCCACCCCTTAAAATAGTCGCAAAAACTATTCTATTTTGTTCTGTCTGTTTTCTTTTCTCTTTTTGATCGCAAATATTTTCCAACTTGGTATGCTTTAAATATACCTGGCGTTAATTATCAGACCCTCGACTAAAATTACACTTTTTACGACACAGTGAATCCCGAGATTAGGTGCGAACATAAAACCGTAGTACCTGTGTAAAATCCGAATGCCTTTTCCGCTTTTGCTTTTAATCCCTAATCTGAGATACACGAGAGGTTTTGCTTAGCAGACCTAACTTTTTGGGACCAATGTTTACAAGCCACTCGCAACACGTGACAAAGTTTTATTACAAAGGGGATTCCCATGGGAAAGGCAATTAAGTAGGTAATCGCTGGAATTCTTTTCGATATTTATTTCTTATCGACTTTAAAAGAAGCTCCCTAGTCTCTTTTGGAAGAGTATATTAAGGTATTCACTGAAGACTTTCTCCTACTTTAGAATTTGCCATATAAAGAATCGTTCTATTACTTTTCTTACAATTTCAAAAGTAGCATACTGTTCTATGACTTTCTTCATGAGTAAATGGTTTGTCTTTCACAAAATTAATTTCTGCACCCAACTGATAAGAAACGATGATTATCTTGAAATCTCGTCTTTAGTTAAAGCGAAGTGACGCGATAGAAAAGCTTGCAAAGTACAGAGTCGTATGCTTTCGGATGCGGTTTTCCAGTTTTGGCATCAAAGGGTTAATTTGTTTACTAATCCGCGTATAGGTGGATGCAAACGGAAAGTTCATTCGCTCGGGGTCCATTCACTGCGAAACTCGTTCGCAATCGGCGGTTCAGTCGGTATGCGGGCACATTGGCAACTTTCTTTCCACTTTTTCAATGCTCTCGCCCGAGTATCCGTCCGTGATATGTTTACTTTCAACAGGCGTTTACCTGCCGTGCCCCCTCCTCCCACGTGTCGGATATTTCCTGGAAAAGCGAGTCTCGGACTTGTTCAATTCACCTGTTAGGTCTCGACTGGTGCGGCACAAACCGACCCCACTGGTTTTTCAGTGAGCTTTGCGGAGGGTTGCAGCGGTCGTCTACCTGAAGAGGATGACACGAAACAGTCAAAATTGTGAATCTAACTTCTCCGCTATAAAAGCTTCTCGTAAAACATTTCTCTCCAATCTCTATGACTGAAAATTGATCAACTCGATCAACTACTTCAGCTTCTTCTGAACTCTCGATGCACCAACAATCGATCCTCCAATTACACCGCGCAATGTATACGTCGCTGATGAAAGTAAAGTCTGAAAAGAGTTCCTCGGACGACCGACAAATAACGAGGAATCGGTAGACAGCAATTGCACTCGCTTGATTTATAAATACTTGCACCGGTCGTATTTCCCCGGCGATTTTTGCAATGAATTGTTGGGTAGCAGACCCAAGATCCTTCCTCATTACCTGGCTAGCCAGCAGACCTGCACGCGAGAACGGCACACCTCTTCTTACGGTCATTTTTATTCTTGGCGCGAGGCTTTCCAGAACTTCTATAACTCATTTCCACGTTTACTGTATCTACGTTATCTGGGGTGTATTTACAGAAGTAGATCCGCGGTGTGGGAGAAACCTGTCGAGCATTAATTTATGCCAGGCGCGCGTATCGATGGAACTAATTTATTATAGCGTGTTACAATGATAGAGAAGAAGTAGGGGCGCGGCCTTCGAGAGAAAATTATTAACGCTGTGCGTAACCGATTGATACATTAATCGTTGGAGTATGTTCTTTCCTGGATCGTTGAAACATCTTCGCGATTAATTGCGTTTTGTAAAGAAAATTAGAATTTCAGTTTACATCGGATTCGTGTTTGTCAATCGTCGTCGTGTTACATGACTGACAAATTTAATTATGAGTGGCTATTTCCACCTGTCGCGATTACGAGTTGAATGCTTATCGTTCTCGGGTTAGGGTTCTCAGCGCATTTAAATCGCGGCTTGAAGTCCCAGGATTTTAGTTACTCTCGAAAGGGTTAACAACCTTCTGGTTGCACGGGTTACTCCACTCGCTGGCGAAGGAAGGGAATGCGAGCAGGTATTTGTTGCTCGTGCCATGATAAATCGGGAAGACGCGAGTTTTACGAGGTTGCTTCCAACCACCTTGCGCGGGAACGTTACCTTAACGAAGGCATAAATTCCTACCCTTTCTCGCCCATGCGCGGTTGCCGTTTATTAAACATGACGCAACACGTGGTCCATGAATTCACGGAAGAGTCCGAGATGCTAATTATAAATTACAGTAGACATTCAGAGCGAAGAATTTTTCTAAAATACATTGGTTTATAGAATCTGATCTAATTGATCAAATTATTTGCTTCTCCTTTCACTCGAAGCTATAGTAGAATGTATGTATAGTAGGCGCACAATTAATTTCTGCAGCTAATATACCAATTGACATACGTATAACTTTAAGAAGATAAGAAATTCCATCGTGATGTAAGCTTGTAAAATTCGCCTAAGTCGCGATCGTCGCCAGTGCAATTCGCTACGGACTTGAGAAATTCGCTCGAGAATGCTTTCCGTCCCTTTACCGTATCGTCGTTGCGGCAAATCTCGTTTCCAACGTTGGACGCGCGTGTTCCAACTCAGGCATATAATATTCCGTGGCGATTTGCGTGTAATACGTGGGTGTAATTGCATTTCGCTACTCTCGAGTGTGCGCTGCTTATGGGAAACCTGGAAACGGTACTCTCGATCTCATCTCCGCGATCTATGGCGCGCTAACGATCGAACGGACGCGAAAATACTAGTACATATATCGAACTTGGGTTCAAATTGAAACGTGTCAGAGTAAACGCAATGGTAGATAAACGTTAATGTTTCTCACGCCTAATTTTTATCGTATTTCGTATTTTATATTCAACTCTGTCGCACATACAAACGTTCCCACAACCTGCGTGTACCCGTTCATTCCAGAAAACTGCTGGAAAATCAAGCAATCTAATTGAAATGCCGTTCTCCAGACGTTCCTCGACTATTACACAGCTCGAGTTATCTCGAGTTCCATAGTCGTAAGATAAACACGTGAAACCACACTTGGCGATAGTGGCTAAAATAATAACGGCTGAATTAGAGTAAGCAAAGTACAATATAGAACAGACATTGTTTAATTTAAATTAAATATAAAGATCGTATCATATCCACTCGTAATTTTGAATGTAACTCTTCAATTAAGCGAGTGAGCGAGGTGTACTTATAAGGAAGTCATAGAACTTGACTGTGACACCTAATGTACCAGTCTTACATTGATTCAGGATTTGCATTCGTTTAATTCTTGCTTTATGTATACTTCTGATAATCTCCACTCTGTTGGGCCCTCTCGGCCCGCCATAGCTCGGGTACCTCGGGGTTGCTAAACCCGCACTGCAGCTAGAATTAAATCTAGCTGCAGCCCCTGAGGGCAGCTCTTTAACACGTCGATTGCCACACTGATTCACATGGAAATGTGTACAAGACTAAAATTTTGTCTCGAGACTATTGGGAATTATAGAATCTATCATTTGTCGTATTACCAATTTTTATATCCCTGTACAAATTTACGAATTCTATCTAGATGCGTTTTCATTAACACTCAGCCCTTAAAATTAATTGTTGAAGTTCCTCAGTGAAGAGCTCTGTCACCCATATATGGATGACGTGGCGTTCAACGTGTTAATTAAGAGTAATCGCATTGCTAATTATTTAAATATACCTCGGGCTGTAGTTAACAAACAAAATTCTCAACTTTCCTAAAGACACTAGACTTTACCACTAAATATAATTACATATGAATAAATCCTAAACCGTGACGTTAATTTAAAAAATATATATATATATATATATAAGGACAAGATATGACCACTGAATAACGAAAATTCGTTTGTCCTTGCACGAAAATGATTATCGAAGTATACACGACTAGTTCATACATTTTGTATCGTCTAAAGTCAACAACGAGTCCGAATTCTTCCTCCCCTCCTCCTTGAAGGACTGGTTCTGGCCTTCCTACTTTACGTAATCGTCGTTCGATGCTTTCTGCGTTCGAAAGGAAATTCTCCGGTTTAGATGTCCATCTTAGGCGACGGCGAAGGTGTCGGAGGATCGAATGCCGTTTCCGTCGCTTACGGTCAAGGACGTGGTTGCTTCAGCGCATTCCCCAGATGAATTTTTCTCCGAGGGCGTGTCCGCATCCATGAGCAATTATGCTCGCTCTAGTCGCGTAGTCGTAAACCTTCTACGCGTTTACGCTTTTTCCAACCTATTTTCATCTTCCCGAACAGGTCAATTGCGCGTCCAACGCGCCTTCTTCCTGTACTTCTTAGACTTTTTTCACTGTTTTCATTCGAGCATGCCATCCACTCTGGAGTCCTGAAAAAGCCGTTTCTACATTATTTTTTTTTACTCGAATACTAATGATAATAGCTTCTTTCGAACTTTACGCGTCCATTTATGAGAGTTTCAAGGAAATGTGAAATTTCGTTAATCGAGGAAGTATTTGTTCGTAAATTCGCATTTCCTAGATACATTTCAGATTATTCGATACAGTTACGTTTTATATATTTTATATATTTCGCACATTTTATGCGTTTTATGGCTGGTTGAAAGCAACGATACTCGCCGATTTTGCCATAAGTAACACGCCTTTAGCCAGCGTCCTATCTACCGCGTGAAACGAGAATCGAGCATACTCGAAGTCCAACGGACCTTCCGATACAGACCCGTACGCTTCTTTTTACCCACGATCGGCTAGACACTCCCGGAAATTTGCATAATTTAGTCACCGCGGGGCGACGTCTCGCGATAAGAATTTCCATTTCCCTCGTCGCCACGAAAAGGGCTCTCCTATCTTCGATCGTTAACGGTATATAAATCGCGGATAACGTTTCACTTTCCACTTTTGGACCGCGTGTTTATAGAAAACAATCCTATTTCTCCTATTCAACCGTGTACCAGAATTATCTTGCGTCGTGGCGACCCATCGAGGATTTGAGCAAATCTTGCCAGAGATCTATGCAAATGCGTACACAGTCAATTTTTGAAGTATTCATATCTTCTATGTGAAGAAATTCGTGTAACATGAGTTGAATGATAACATTTATTTGGATACATCAAACCCAAATTAGACAAATTTCTTTAATATACAGGGTGTCCCAAAAGTCGGGGAGGAGCCGGAAATGGGGGGTAGCTGAGACGATTCCGAACAACAATTTCCTTTGCAAAAATGTCGGATGAGGCTTCGTTAAGGAGATATTAAGAGAAAACCCCGACCAATCAGAGCGCGCGTAGGCCGTTGGAGCGGCCGCGGTAGCGAAGGCTACGCGCTAGGCGGCAGCGTCAATGTCCTTCGATGCACGTCGAGTCACTTGTTCGCGTACAAGCGCGGCCGCCAGCGCGTAGCCTTCGCTACCGCGGCCGCTCCAACGGTCTACGCGCGCTCTGATTGGTCGGGGTTTTCGCTTAATATCTCCTTAACGAAGCCTCATTCGACATTTTTGCAAAGGAAATTGTTGTTCAGAATCGTCTCAGCTACCCCCCATTTCCGGCTCCTCCCCGACTTTTGGGACACCCTGTATATAGAAGTTAAGAATCTTTCGCTATAAATACGTACATGAATGTACATGTACATAGATTTTAAGTACATATGTATATATTTCTTTGGAAACATCAAACCTGTTATTTATCTTATGTTAGACAAATTTCTCCAATAGACATAGAGAGTACGAGTAATTATAGTACTCCCTGTATGTGTCTGCTCCCTTCAGAGCAGAATGACAAAGTTCCTTAGTCTAATCTTAACCAGTTAAATCTTCTTATTTTTATTAAAACGAACTTGCCTTTTATTTTAACTAACTTTTCCTATTTACCATTCATCGTTGCATTCTTCTTCCAGCGTTAGCCTTTTCCTCATTACACCTAAAAAAAAAAAAGTAGAAAGTTCAAACGTTAGTTTCACTATAAGTGTTAATCACAATTTTGATGTACCCTGTCCTGTGTACCTTTTTCCACGAGTAAACGAATATCACCGATCCCGAGGCAGAATACCTCTGAGCTTTCGTCAGACATAGGCTCGGTTTGAATGAAAACCGATAGAAATCTGGAATCCGAACGCTCGCCGTGGAATTCCTGGCTCGCAGTCTTGAAATGCATTGGTGAGTTCGATCTCGAGGCGTGTAAACGAAGCCCACTCACCTTCCTTCCTTTTCCCTTCCCTTTTCGCCGTGACTGCTATTAGGTCGCAGTTACGACATTTTAAATCCGCAGTTACGACTCCGGCGTGTCGAAGAATGAATTGCCCCATCGATGGTCACCGATTCAAATCCGCTCACCCGGTACGTAGAAACGTGCTACGTGGAATCGTTCGGCTGGCGATTAAATGTAAATTAATTACCGCAAAACAACGTTTGGGAGAACGTTTCATTCGAATCGCTCGATTTTCCACTTTATTTCCTGGAATCAACAGGTAGCTTAGTATTTGTTCTTCGTAATAGAGGAGATGGAAGCAGTGTGAGATAAGATAATAACAGTATGCAGGAGTTAATGCCAGGCTAAATTAATTCGGACTAATAAAAAGTTCTTTTTAAGCTGGTAGACTACTCCTAAATAACCTGCTATTATAATATAATTCCTTCAAAGTACTATTAAGTCTTTCTCTAAATATAATTCAATCCCTCTCAGAAACACTAAAAATGCCCATGCAATGCGTCTACGTATCAGTCTAGCCTCCCATAGCGTCGATACAGCCTCTGAGGGTAAAGAGAAAAAAAAGAACATAACGGAGATATACAATGAGCCTCTCCGCTCCGTGGAAACCCGGACAGCATTCCCACCATCGATGATACAACCATTTTTATCAAGTCACGTATCTCGAACGGTTACGCAATACCATTAACCGATCGTGATATAGCCCCCACGACCCAAATCCGCCGTCGCCGTGAAATCATATACATTTCGGACGAAATTGTGCCGGTAAACGAGCGTGCTCGGTTCTCCTGGCCGCCTATTTCGGTTTACCTCGTTAAAGCGTGCTTGGTGCTCCATAAAAGTGCACGCCATAAGCGCCAATTCCACGTGACGAGTCAATTGCACACGCGAAAACGGTGGGCGGATGGAATTGCACGCGAAATCGTATGGCAGAAAGGGTCGTTTGGATAGAGCAGGCAAGAGAGTACGAAAAAGTGTAAAGGTCGATTCAGACTATACGACACGGACCGTCACGTTCCGGCAACGACACGTACCGGCACCGACACGACAAAACATTAAAATACGCGTTTTAACACGACGACTGCCACACTCATTCGCATGGAAGTCTCCACAGAACTGAAATCTCGTCTCGAGACAATTAGAAACTATGGAATCTAATATTTGTCGTATTAATTATTTTTTAATTCTCATCAAAATTAACGAATACTATCCAGACCTGCTTTCATCAATAGTTAGTCCTTTAAATTATTTGTTGAAGTTCTTTAGTAAAAAGCTCCGTCACCCATATGTGAGTGACGTGGCGTTTGATGTGTTAGTGGCGTTTAACGTGTTAGTTTGGAATAGTGTGAATAGTTCCATTAAAACGCGTGTTTTAATGTTTTGTTTTGTCGGTGCCGGTACGTGTCGTTCCCGGTCCGTGTCGTATAGTCTGAATCGACTTTAACGCGTATAGTAAAAGAAAAAAAAAAACCAGATGAAGTGCTTGTTTGCTCTTTTCTACCACGCATACGCAATTACATTAAGAAACTCTGGTGGGAGAGAATGTGAATCGAGGAGAAATGTCACTGAGTAATCTCTGGTCAGCGTCAGGTGCTCCTTGATTCCTGTGACTTCTCCCACCAAGTCTTAAAATTCTTAGACGTAAACAGAGATACTCTCTCCATTTGTTCTCTCTTTATATCTTACGCTTTGCATCTTCACTTACAGAGGCTGCAAATGACTCCACTACTCTGCATAATCTCTTCGGTCAGAACTGTTCGTGCCTTTTTTGATAACAAACACCACTTACGATTAGGGTATCTCTCTCCACTTCCTTATGCTTTCAGTGCCATGGGCTTTCTAGCAAAAGAATTTCTATATCAGAATATTTCTGTTAGTTGTACGAACCTTTTTCGACTGATAGTAAAATAAATATAAAAATAAAAATTTGAAGAAACGGATCGACAACACTTTCGCGACGTCGATCTCGTTCTCCGAACAGACGCCTGATAGAATGCGTAACAATGCTTCTCCCGTTATGCGAATTCCCACGGCGCCTAATCCCTGGCACAGTGAAAGCACTCCGACGAACGCCCCAGTCATCCTGCGTCCAGAATTTGAATACTAATTCCCTCTCGTCCATTCGAAAGCGTTTCTGTTAGATTGCTGTAATTTAATTACAGGGGCCTCCGAGAGTATGAAGCGTTTCCTTTTTCCATTCCGCGCGATGACAACGTCTTGTTACGTGAGACTCTCTGTATAACAAAGATCGCCATTGCACGATCATTTCAGCGCGTGTAGTGGCGCCAGTAGTTTGTGTACTCGTCGTGCCCTGAAACAGTCATAATGCTCATCTCCACTGGTGAAACGATAAATTTGTCTTGTTCTTTAAGAATTTTAAATATAAAACAACGTCTTGTTACGTGAAACTCTCTGCATAACAGAGATGGCCATCGCGCGATCATTTCGCCAGTAGTTTGTGCGCTCGTTGTGCCCTGAAACAGTCATAATGCTCATCTCCACTGGTGAAACGATCAATTTGCCTTGTTCTTTAAGAATTTAAATATAAAATAAATCATTGGTTCTCCTGGAACGAACAAACGAAATTGAGTAAATAATTGTAACATTTCTCTTATACAGAGAGATCTAGAATATTCTCGATTTAAATAATTAACCATCGACCATCCTCGACCTACCGCGCCATGTGTAATTTTCTCAGCATGCTTGAATAAGTCATAAAACCTAGAACAATCGTTAGTCGTGACACGACCTCCACGTGGGAAGACGCTCTGTTCGAGAATTGAACGCGAGCCAAGGGTGCCGATTAGGGTCTAATTCGCAGAACGTTACGTCCTAATTAAACATCGTACGATCGTTAATTATCACCCCATGGGAGATCCTGTCCTATCTTTATCGCGAGGATCGTTGCGAGCGAAAGAGTACGCTCAAACGAATTCCGATCGAGCCGAGCGCGGAATTTATGGGATTTATGGTCGGGATATCCCGCTAAGCCCGTCATCGCCAAACACTTGGAGCTTTTATTCGACACCTGGTAGAAATGGCGCTTACGTAGCGAGCCATCCAATCAAATAATGATTGGTTTCTCTTGGAGCAAATTCTGAATTTCACATTCCTCGCGCATAACTATGCAAAAAACGACTCCCATAGTTTCTCTCTTTGGCTGGGAGCCGCCTCGAGTGGAGTTCCGTACACTCGAAGTCTGAAGGGACTTGGATGGAACGGGAAATATTTATTTTTTGGCCTGAGAAGTCTCTCTGATCACTTCATTCGATCTCTCGTATATCCATCTCATGTTTGTGTACATTATATTCTACGATATATGTATAATACACGTATATGCATCATGCATCTCCAATGTAACGTACTTAACTAACACGTTGAAGTCTCGAAAGTATCAAACAAACGATGAATACACTTGAATAAAGATTGAGGTTCACCATGCACACGTTATTCAGAGAAAAAGTGTCCTAGAATCTCTAATACCTAAGCACAAAGTGTGTCGCGAGCATAGGTTCGAAAATGAATTCTGTTTACCATAAGCGAAGTGCAATCCTCTGCGTCCGTTGTGCAATCGAATGCAAATATTCTTCGTTTCTTTTTCTCTCGTCGAGATATTTAAGAAGCCCGCCGTGCACGTCGGCGATAAATGATAATTCAGCTAACGCGCAACAGTGGGCAAAGAATGTTTGTAATATATTCTTCTGGAAAAAGTTCGCACGATGCCATCGTGGCTGCGTTGAAACTCGACCGCCTTCTGCAAAAATAAACGTGGAAAAGTAATAACTGGGAATTTATATAGCGAGGAATGCGTATAGTTACAGAATTCCACGTTGATGGCAATCCACGTGACGAGCGGAATCGCCTAAATTACTGGCGATACTGGAACAGAAAGTCGCTTTAGCTCGAGCAATTAAAAACTCGTTTTTTGGGGTACACGAGGCGATTCGATGGGTCTGAAAACTTTCAGGGGAATTCTACGTTGAAGAATTGGGGAAGTATGTGTGATTCGTTTGGCCTTTCCACAGCTATTTAATGATGTTTTATTTTAATTGCATTGCTTCCTTAAAATTAA